TCATCTAGAATTTTGGATCGACACTACAGCGAGAGCTCTTTCAAAAACAAAACTACCCCATGCAAAAAAAGTATAGGCGGCACCATAGTTTAGTTCTCTTCGTCAGTAATAATAAAAGACCCTTTCTTCTGTGGGCTGGAACGCAAGTGCATCCTTTAAAGGGGAGCAGAAAAGTGATTTTGACGCTGGCTCAATTCTCGGACTTCAATCCCGTATGTAGAAAGAAAACAAATATCCAGCCGGAATTAGCTTTGGGTGGCTGTCCATCAGTAGAGGACACCATGAAGAGTCGTTCGAAATCTGCGCCGGAACCAAGCTGACCCCAACATTTGTCGCAACCGTACTCACCGCCACGGACCGTAAACCCCTGAGCGGGTTGTCAGCAGTAGCTAGTGGCATCAGCTACTGCTGGAAACCCGCAGTTCACGAGATGGGGATCATTGGCGTTGAGCACAAGCAGAACAAGACGCTGGCTGTCGGTCTAGTTCGCGGAGATTGTAGGCCAACACTATGCAAACAGCCCTCGATATCACCACCACAGAAGCAGATTTGAGCGCGCCAACACCCCCCTCCCGCTCTCATAGGATGTCCTGTAGTTGTATTAGTACTGTGCAGCAGTGCCTGGCAACACGGACCTTATTTGAGCGCCTATCGTCTTGACTCTTTTGACTTGAATTTGGAATGGCGTGAATTTTTTTATTGATTCAACGGAAACGTGTGGAGGTAGACGTGTGAAATGTATGTTTTGAGCGGCCTCTACTGCCGCCCTGTGCACGAATCGATGATTTCTATTGTTTGCGATGCTTTCCGACTGGTCTGTTGTGTCTGTCGTACAAGTTCAGGTGCTCTGGCGTTCGTTTTCAACATTGGTCAATATCAAAGATCGTTGTCCGCCGTCCCTTGTCGAAGAGCCAAACATCAAATTTGAGAGAATTAAACTCAAAATCAAGCTCTGATTGGTCGGCAAACTGCTAGCTCGTGGCGATGCCCTTTGATATTGAGCAATTCCTTCCTCTGGATAAACGTCCCCAGTACTTTCTTAACGTTATTGGATCAACATCAACATCGAAGGCTTGGAGCATCTGCCGCGAGGCCTCTGGCACAGGACATGCCATACACTGCTCGTAGAGAGGCTATCGTATCCTCTCCACCGAGAACATGGCTATTCCTTGTAGCCAGAAGCCTTCGCTCACCGGCAAGTCTACACCGGGCCGGCGCGTTGGGTTCTCGATGGTAGAATGCCGATCGTCACAAGTGGTGAGGAGACCCATGATCAAACGGGGCTGACGCGGCTTTTTCGGGCTTTTCCGCGCTGGAGAGGGAGGGTAGTTGCAACTTTTTTCTCAAAACTTTCGATACCCCAAGGCATCTATCCTTGTACAAGAAAGATGGCGGACAGCGCTACGCCCTTTGGCGTTGCATTGCTATTGTTGTTGCTCCCTCCTTCGAAAACATATCGGCGGAGAAATCAAACCCTTGGCAGTCTAAGACACAATAAAACTGAACTTGAAGCAACCGCTCTCGAACTGTGGACTTTTTTGGGTCAGCACATGCGTTTTTTAGTGCGTATTTGGCCTCTCACGGCGCCAAACCTTGGCATAATTCCACAGTCCGTGGCATCAGCTCCTTCCGGATACCATTCTTGAGGCAACTCGTTCCTTGTTCGGCGAGATATCGGTGAACACGAGAACACAAGAGCGCACAACTACTCTGGAAAAACGACGCTTGCTGCTGACTCTTCCCCTTGCGCCAGCTCTGTTGGTCATGCCTTGTCCGACTCGTGTTATATCGCCGATAACATGATCGGGCCCTTTTTTTCAGTTGTCCACGATAACGAATGTTGAATTTATTCGACATTGGGCCCATTTCAAACTTGACTTTTGATTCTTCGTTAATACAGGAGACCAAAACTAAAGAACAATACAGTACTGGGCCCTCTATAGTGCAGGTTGAATAGTGCAGGTGCCCAGTATAGTGCAGGTGAAATCTCTGGACACAGACAGCGCCTTCAATAGTGCAGGACCTGCACTATTGAAGGCAGTCCCTATTTAGTGCAGGTCGGGCACCGCGGTGCCCCGCAGTAGTGCAAGTTGGACACACACACAAACGATAGTGAGAACATGGAGTTGGAAGGAAGGAGGATGGCGGTGACACTCCAAAAAAACGAGCTAGAGTGCAAGGTAGCAGCCTTCATCGACACGTACGCAAATCTGCTGTGGCTACCGTTTCTGTTTATAATCCGGAAATAGCTTAGCCTCCCCCAAGCCGCCCCTTCATGGCGTCCCAGTTAGTGACATTCAGACTAGTCTAGAAGTGCTTTGTTTTTTCAATAGCACTGACTGACGTATTTTCATTGGTCAGCCGGTTAGCGAGGTCGATGCTAGTGAAAAAACACTCACGGATAAGACAGCGGACAGACGCAACACAGAAACCAGGATACACGTGCTGCTGCAGACCCGAAAGCTCACGCACGGACGCAACAAGCCTTATGCGGACGGTGAACTGTGCCGCCATCAACAAGCAGAACGCCGCCAGCCCATGGCTCCGTCTGCAAGGGCGGGTGTGGCGGGAGGCTCCACGGCAATTGCGGCAGCATGTTTGAGGACGACGAAAAGCACCGCATCTGCAGCAAGTGCGTCGCAAGGCTGTTAAGCGCAATGCGACACCAGCTGAGGGTGCTGGGGCGGGACCATCCATCGAAACGCACGCCCGAAGAAAACAAAGGCGGCGAGTAAGAAGAGATCTGGTTCTCGTGCGCGGCCAGACAACACGAAGCTCGAGATTCTCAAGTTGATGGATGCGCCAGGCAGACATGGGAGAATTTTTCGCGACGTAGTGAGGGCGGGGTTACATAGTCTACTACAGCTGTAGCAGTAGGGGTTGTTTGTTTTCTTGTAGTGCGGTTCCTGGCGTGCTTTTTTTTAAATCTTGCAACATCGAACGAGGGCGGCGAGGACTGAGATACAGCTTCGTCCACTAAGTATTAATGTCGAAGGATTGGTTCATGCGACAGTTTACGGTGTGCAGTAGTACGAGTGCTGAGACAGGAAGAAAGTAACGATTCAACTTGCCAGTAATTTTTCTACATCTCTGTGTGTGCGACAGGGGGGAACCACACGGGTCGTGGGACAGCCTGCCCACACCCACGCTAGAACAGGGCCCAGCACTACTGTATTTCGATCCATTTCGTACTCTGTTAGCCCCGCGACGCATGAGCGCTACACCATCAAGCATCTCCTCAATAGTGCCGGACTTGCACTATCGAGGAATAATATACTCAAAGCCTCAATAGCGCCGAACCTGCACTGTTGACGCACTATTCTGAATAGTGCAGGTGCCCGCTATAGTGCAGGTAAAAATTCTGGACACACTCCTGCACTATAGAGGGCCCAGTACTGTAGTTGCTTCTCCACGTACGTCAAAAAATAGTCTCTCCTTATCATTGCGCAGCGGTTGAAGAATTCCTCCGTTGGTATTTCTTGTTTCGTTGGGTAGGTACATGAATATGATGTGTCGGTACTTTTTTTCTCTTTCCGACCTTCGCCGGGTGGGTGTGCAAGGAATAGGGCGGGCGTTATGTTCCTCGCCGCTCTGTTCTCAAGAACGACCAAACAAACTGACAACGCCTGTAAAACTCGGCATGTATCCTCTATCGCGGTCCTTCGTTACCTATGACGACTGACTGCCGCCTGTGCCATTTTGTCACGCCGAACACCGCTGATCTGCTGATTGCAAATGATGATGATGACTATGCTTCAGAGAAAGATCGCAGTACAGTATGCACTGCGATTCTGCTGTGGTGCTGTAGCGGGCCGCTTGGTTTTTCTTTTATTCTCGTTGTTTGGTCGAGATCGAGTATTCGCACGGCGCGTGGTTTTTCAACGTGTTGTCGCGGAAAACGGCCAACCCCACTGCCCGCCTACATATTTGCAATTAGAAAAAGACATATGCAGTTTTGGAAAGGCCGACGTAGAGTTGGTTGTGCCTCCCGCCTCCTCTGTCCTCCCTCTGTGCCGCGCTCGCGCCGGGGTCATTCTTTCGAAGACATGGAGGATTGTGTGTTCAGTCCCTAGGGGACGCACTTTCCCGTGAGGTTCTTGGAGGCTTCTCCAAAAGTACAACCCGGCACTTACAACACAGTGTGTTCTGACAACACGTGTGTAGGCAAATTACTCCCGTAGGAAACTTTTGAAATCGGGATATGAGAACATAACGCATCGAGTTAACCCGCAACAAAGTGAAAAGCGCTACTTTAGCCAAAGCATACACTAAATTATGTAAGACAGAGACAGCTGATTGGGCCATTGGTCACGCCGCTGGGGGAGAATCCCGAAATGTTCCCTTTTTCTTAAAGGAAGTCTTTTGAAAGCCGGAGCACACCAGAAGCACACGATGCTTGCTGTGGGCCAAGGGCCGCCAAAGGGACACGTCATATAAGGCGTCGGGAGCGGTTTTTAGAGCCCTGCTGCTAGCAGCATGAGCGAGGGGAGCCAAGTGCACACCCAGGCGCGGTTTTTCCGACATTTTCCCAGCAGCAGCTTATGAGAGCTTCGCCCACACCTAACAACGCTCTTCACTCGCCCCCGCGCTGCTACACGGCAGACGTCCTGGATAGACATTTGCCTGGTGGTGTCGGGTGAGGCGTCGGTCTGTGTGATGGCGTTGGCTCCATCCAAACATATCTACGCTTGCTTGCCTCTCTCTTCACTCCTGTTTTCTTGGTTTTTTCGCGCTTTGCGCAAAATATCCTAACCCCAATGTAAGGGAGGTTAGCCGGTTAGTCATCCTCGAACAGTTGCTGTAGCTTCAGCGCTTGAACAGCAGTAAACGCAGCAAGTTGTCAACAGACACTGCGATGTATTGATGTGAAGGGATATGAAGGCAGGATTCACAACGCACGACATAACGGAGGGTTTCTCTCCGATATTCAGTAGAAGACAACTACAGGCGATGCCTGACATCGTCACCCCCATAACGCACGCCGTGTTTCTGCATGGCAGGAGAATGCAACCAATGAGTTGATCCGGACGTTCGAGACACGGGACGACGACGTGTTCGTGTGCACATTCTCCAAGTCGGGCACAACCTGGGTGCAGCAAATTATCACACTGGTGGGCCCGGAGAGGCATCAAGGCCGCGTAGGGTTGTTTGGTGCTCTGTTGGCCCTCGCTGACCCTTGATAGCCCCCCAGGTAGTCGATACCGAGGGACGCCGTCTTTCAACCTTCTCAAAAGTGTGGAACAACCCCTACAAGCGATGCTGAACCGAGCACTGAGTGAAAACGTGTCCACCTTTACCTCAGAAAGCGTTGGTGTTTCTCCTGGAACTTGCTCAAGGCGTAGCCATGGTGTGTGCTGGTGCTTCAGGTGCCACCTTTTGTTCTACCGCTGCGGGCGTCACTGCCGCTTCTAACTCGGACCCCAAAAGAAGTGCAACATGGCTTGTAGAAGCTCGTGGCGCTGTTTGAGCCCAACCTGCTTGCTGCATTCTATTTTCGTGTTTGCTTCTCTTGGCCAACACCGAACAGCTGCTCAACGGGGGTGTTCAGGGCGAGAAGTCCTACAGCGAAGCCGTCCCGTGGATGGAGTGGCTAACGTTCAAGTTCGGGGAGCACGAAGACCCTGCCATCCGGGACGCCGAGGTATGGTGGTGGCTCTGTCATACCGTGGCGTAGCGTCTCGGCTGGCGTGGCAATGCTGCTCATGAGCGGTTTCATCGCATTAAGAGGATGACCGGAGAGGATGATAAGATTGGCTCGGTGGCATTTTTGCATGTTCTGGTCCAGGCACCTCGGCAATATCACAGTACATCGTGGTTTGATTGAAAAGGGGGACAGTGGAATGTCGCACGATTCCCGTGGTTCCTTCTCCTTTCGGTATGCTGGTACCCTCCAACCCTGAGTATGGTGTTCACTTGCATTTCTTGACGCACACAACGCTCATCGAGGCGCTTGGCTCGCGGTGGTCTTCAACCTCAAATTCGCATATAGTTTCAAGCATGCACGCATCATCGCCAAACCATGGCAGAAGGTCGACACATGACGTTAAGAAGACGCCTTGCGGATATTCGCTCTTGCGGCTGATTGGCTGGTCGGTTGTCCAACTGCTTCGCTGATACACTTGGTAGGCCAAGGGCTGGACGCTCGAGACGATAAAATCGACTCCGGACAGACGATTCATGAAGACGCACGCCAACCTCAGAAACCTTCCTGCTGGATCGGCGAAGGACCTCAAGGTCAGCACGCAGTTGGCGTTCATAGTATGCTGGTCGTCGTGTTGCGTCAAGCACAAGTGTATCTGCGAAGAGGCAGTTCCGCACCATGTGCAGACGCAGCCTTTCGTTGGTCTCGTTTCATTTAATTGCTCGCTTCGTATGGTCGCGCGATGAATACCGAGTCGTTGTCCAGTGGGTATCCTCCTACAACCTACTCGCAACAGGTGGTGGGTTTGAATCGCTTTTCTGGAGTGAACATGGTTCACCTCCGTGATGCGAGTTACTCGCAAGTATTCACCACGAGGGAAGGGATTGCTGGACCATTATCGTGTTGTGACTCTAAGGCAAGCACCGCACGGAGTTGAGACAATGAGACAAGTCCCTGTGTCACCTTTCTCCCACGTAAACCTGGCTGATATGTCGAACACATGCCAAAAGGTGTAGACTGGCGCCTGAACATTTGAGACGAACTCACACAAAAGTGCGACACCCTCTGCCACGGAGCACGATACGTGTCGTTTGTTGAAGCACGCGTTCGCATGTGCCCCAAAAATACATGCCCGATATATGTCGCTTGCTGGCACTTCTCTCGGTATCAGATTACGGTACCTCACGTAGGCAACCTTTTCGGAATGGCATTTTGCCGACACGGCCACTCACGCACGCGCACACGCAGTGCTTCGGGATCCCCCAACACCATTCCCCTTTCCCTTGGTTCCTGCCAAATTCAGGTGATATACGTAGCACGAAACCCCAAAGACGTGTGCGTTAGCCTCTACCACCACGTGAAGAACAAGCGACCGGACACTTTCAGCGGAGATTTTTCGGATCACCTCCGCAGTTTTGTCGAGGGAAGGTGAGACGGAGAGCGGGATTTGCGTGGCTTTATTCTCAGCTCATCCATTCTGGGCAGCGCTCGCGCCTTTCGGCAATACTGGGCCCACCAGTCAGGGTCACACAGTAGGAAGGCCACGAATGCACATTGATGTACCAGGTAGGAGTTTTTTTTTGTGTCTCGACCTCCCGTGTACGGTGATTACATCGCCTCTTGTCGGTCTGAATGCTTGCAAGGGCGTGGTCCATATACCACGCCGTCCACTGTAGTTGCGCATTCCTCATCGACCCGGCCACTACGGTGGGTCAGCGTTTATCTCGTAACCTAAGAACTAGAAGCAGGTTGTGAGCCAGCTCGATTCTCTCCTGGAGTAAAAATGCGTTCGGAGTCTGGGGTGGAAAACGCCTTCATAAGTTAACGTTCTTCGAGAAAACACTGTCGAGGAGGAAGACGGACGGCTGACCCTTCTCACGAAGAAAACTAGAGACAGGTACCGCAAGGAACGGTGGGGCAACAAAACAGCTCGAAATGAATAGGAGCTGTGGCCCCGGCTCATACGTCAACCATATGGCAAGACCACTCGGAAGGTGTTGACAGATACTGAAGAACGTCCTAGGGTGGCCAAAAATGCCCAGGCAGTGTTCCTTCACCGATAATTTCACACTATCGCTCGGTGTAGTCACGAACCCCCCATTGGCTTCGCTGTTTAGTCACGCTTGAAGTGCTGTCGGGTGACGACGCCGACAACTTTCGCAGAACATGCTCTGTTGGCCCGTGGGGCGGCGGACGAGGACGAGTGTTGACGGTGAGAACCGACCAAGGGTCCAAACGACAGATGGTGCGCTTGGAAAACTCTCAACTGGTGGGCTGCAGCGATGTTTCTGAGTATTTCGGCCATTGACCGAGAGGTGCACGCCCGGACTCGGCAAAAGTCGGAGATTGGTATCACTGCTTGCCTCGGGCAACCGTGCTGCTCCTCGACAAGTTTTTTTTTATATTGTTAATGTAGTACCTCGTTTCCTCAGGGCGTTGCAAGCGCGGAATTTCAGTTGAATGTAAAGTTAGTTTGTCATCACCAGTTCCACCAGGTGACTTAAGGTGGTGTAGAGAGCACAGACGAGATGAAGATTCGCACACAACCAATCAATACCTGCTTCAACTTGTATGCAAAAGGTTGTGCGTTCTTGTACAATCGTGTTGCATCCTTTCCGTCGATATTTTATCAAAGAAGAAACCGGTACAACAGGCACAGACGGACAACCGCTGGCTCATACTCAAATTAAATTGATGGGGAGAGTATAGACGAGAACAAAGCTCACATACTCCTGTTCTACATGCATGCAACCACGACAAATGGTGCTGCGTGCGAACGTACGTGCGCTTATATTCTTGTTGAATTCTGTAGCACTACTCATCGATTATTTTTCCGTTTAGACGGAATAATCTACCACAGGGCACGTGGCTGAGGGGCACCCCGAACCTCTTGTTGGCAGGCTTGTCCTGGCCTCGAGGCGGGAAATGATGTGTGTATGTCTGACAGCGGGGCTTTGATTTCATGGCAGGAAGGCAACTATACGCGCAACCATGTCGAGGTCGGAGGTAAACAACTGTACAATCGATTGATGATGTGTTTCGACAAGAAGTCAACAAGAATTATTGTGCGCGCGCGAACAAAAAAAGTTACTGTCGAAGACGTACAGAAGTAGCAGAGCATTGAAAATTACCCCATCATTCACCGTTTGAGATGTGTCAAAGGAGCCAACAAAGAACGTATTTGCGCGCGAAAACCGAAACAAATATTGTAACCCCCCCGACACGTGGCGGAATAAGCAGCCTCCGTGGGGCAGGTTATCAGGTGTACCCCGACCCTGCCGTTAGCAGGCTAATCCCGGATGTTCCCGGTGTGCAATGGATGGCAGAATCGCACGCGCAAATTTGTCGAGGTCAGAGTTACTGTACAAAGTATGTATGGATGTGTTCCGACGAGGAAAAAGAGTCACATATTCAACAGTCATCAATCACTAATATGTCAAGTCGTGTGGTGTGCATGCGAAATGCGGCGGAACTTCCGAGTCGGGTGGTTGGAGCGGTGCGGCCCAAACCTCTCGTTGGCAGGAAAACATGAAAGGCATAAACCACCCCAGCGTCGAAGAGGTTGCCAATCCAGCTGTAAACTGAACGGCGCTTCAATTTGGCGCAGGATAGGCAACGTTCAGGCACACATTAATCGAGATCGGAGCAACTTGGTGCCGGAAGCACCTGTTGCAGGCTCGTGTTCGGTGCTTGAGAAGGCCGGTCACCGACACAGCCATTGTTGACGCAGGAGGCACAAATTAAGCTGAAACTTGCTGATGGCGTCTAAAGTAGTGCAGGACGGTCGACGGTGTCATTCCTCGCGCCTCGGGCGCTCGGCTCGTAAAAGTGCGTGGTTCGGAGCTTCGGGGTGAACGCGATTATTCATTAATTAATTCCTTCATTCATTCACATCTTTTTATCCGTTCTTTGAGACGTACCTCTAGAGACCGCAACGGTCTCGTAGAGGAATGGGAGGATAGGGACCAGCCAAAGTGCACGATTCACACTTCCTTGGCGTAGAAAATCCAACATGTGCCGAACCCCGAATGTCGGAAACGTTCTCAACGTGACAGTCAGATGAACGGTCCGTGGTTTGACCACGTCTTGGAGTGGTGGGAGGCGGCCAACGCCGATCCGGAGCACATTCTGTTCTTGCACTACGAGGCCATGCTGGCAGAGCCACAAGAGCACATCCGGAAGATCGCGGACTTCGCTGGCATCTATTACACGCCGGATATCCTTGCTAAGGTGATTGTTCATGATCGGTTTTCAAGAAATTCAATTCAGGGGCGAGGCCTTTGGAAGAAGTGATGTGCAGTTTCACCCACCCCGGGGCCGCGCCCGACGTTGTTGAGGGAAGCGCGGAAAATATATATATATTCCATGTGTTTGGAAGCCTTAATGTGTATCACGCCTGACTCTGCAGCCCCGCCCCTGTTTTTTTTATGTACAATGAAGCAAGTAGATACAGTTGAAAACGTTCATCAAGTACTTCGTGAAGCGAAAACATAAAGTAAAACTCCCACTAGTCATTGACAATGTCAAAGCGAGTCTCATGCGCCAGGCGAACGTTCGCCCTGTTGATGATTGACTAAGATGCCCACATAGTTTGACGGGAACCGTGCCCGCTACTTCTGTGCAATCAACACGTCCAGTGCAACCAATGGCATTGGAGCAGACCGCTTGTGCGTATTCATTCTCGTTCGCTCCGCTTTGCTTCCCTGCCTCCGCATCAATCACGCCTTGTCACCGACCGATCGTCCAATCAACCAGGCGGACGCGGCTTCGTCACTCTCGGCCATGAAGCGAAACCCTAAGACGAACTTGTACCCCTCGAAGAATCACCTGCGGAAAGGAGGAGCAGGGGGGTGGCGGGACTCATTCACGGTGCGGGAGTCGGAGGCGTTTGACGAGATCTACAGGGAGCAGATGGAAGGATCCGGTCTTCGAATGGACTTCGGGGAGGGATTGGTCATGTGATCCTGCTGTATGGCTGATTCGTGCCCTTCCTGCTTGACATGGCCGGCGTCAAAGTGCCGCATGTGTGACCAATGTAATCGATCGGACGTTTCGATTCCTGGGGTTTCACGACCTTTCGGTAGCCTCGCCAGAAATATCGCATTTGTCACGGGTGGGTATCACTAACGTTTCAATATCCGGAATGGCACGGAGGAGACGTGCTTCGCCGTCGTATCTCATTCGTGTCCCGTATTTTTGTTTGCCGTGTCCATGCAAACCGCGCATAGTGCTCTTGTCGTTGTATTGTGAAATGCGATGTTAGTTGTCTTTGTTGATGATTTTTTTTGTTGCTTTGTTGGACTTGGTTTCGCGTGTCGTGCGGAAGCAATGGCCGTCCACTTTCTAACGTATCCATTTATCTGAGAGGCCGCCTGGGATGACTGTCTGCCTGCTGGATGGGATGTCTGACTGTTTCGGGGCGCTCCCTTTTCTTGTTTCTAGAACGTTGTGTTTTTTTATTATTTCTAGAACGTTGTGTTTGTTTGCTTGTACGCGTATATGCCCTCAGTTTAAATCTATGGTGTTGGATGCGATAGCAACAAAACCTACAGAAAACGTGTGTGGTTGTCCTTTTCGAACGCGTCTGACGAACTGGGAGGCCAGTCAAAAGCCACATCATCCCCGGTGTTGCTCTCAGCACCCGCACCCGTCAAGAACACCGTACCTCCACACAGTACCAGTCATTTATTTCTCTTGAATAGGCCGCCATTCGCATCACAGGAGAAGTCCCCCCTCTGATCAAGGCCCAACAAGAACTTGTGGGATCGTTTGACCACTCTTAATTGATGCTACTATTTTTTGTACCGGAAAATATTCGAACACATCATGCAGAATGCGCCCCACGATTGAGAGGTAGTCCATTGAAGAGGTGCAGTTGGTCTGCTTTTCACGAAAAGCAAGAAAAAAGGCGTATTCTAACAGAAGATGCCACGCGGTGGTTCCTAAACTAATCTCTCAGACTAACTCTACAGGGAATACTGCTGTAGTAACCCTCACGGTGCTCCACAGTGCATGGCGACGAAAAAAAACCCACAGAGGCCAGCGAATACAGTGAAAGTGATCAGGGAAACATGTATGCTATACTACATTCCCTACAGCACTGCACCGTCCGAACACGGCGCCAAGAGCCGTCCGTAAGCAAATAAGAGCGCCTGGGGTGCCCGTTGTTGACAGGGGGAGTGCCCCAAACCACCAGGGGCGGGGCGTTATGGGGGGTGCCCGTTGTGGGCGGGGAGTGCCCGTTAGCCCGGGGGTTGCCCGTGTGAGAAAACGTACCCGTATCCAGGGGGCGCCCTTATCCTGCCACAAGTCTTCGTAGGAGAATCAGCGCCCGGCAGGTAGAGTTTGGCCTTGTGAAGCAGATGAGCTTATCTGCTCCGCTTCCACTTGTCTGCTCCACCAGGCCCTTGAGCCACTGGGCCCCCGTGGTTGGGCGTTTCTGTGCATCCACCGGTCCGGTTGAAGAAGCTGTAATGTATATCTACACGATGCAGTTGGTTTAAGGTCGATATCAGCTCTGTGGGTGGAGATCTGCCTGGTGGAGCAAATAAGAGGTTACTTCACCGGTGGTTGTGAAAAAATCTCAGGTATCCGTTGTTGGTTGTGAGAAATACTCGATCAGATACGCTAAACATCCCTGAGACGATTCACTGTATTCCTTCATCAGATTCACCGTAATCCCTCGTTCGTTTCACTGCATTCTCTTATCGAGTAGAAGAACATGGTATTCCTTGGTCAGGATCACTGGATTCTCTCTACAGATACATCGTATTCCTTGCACTTTTCACTGTATTACTTCCTCATCACATTCACTGTATTCCCGCATCAGATACGCTGTACTCTGTGGAATGCAGTGAATCTCACCAGGGAATACAGTGTAAAATATATCTTTCATCATATTATGATGAAATAATAGAGCAGTGCATCAGGTCAGGGGATACAGCGCATCGAACGAGCGAATACCGTGTATCTGCTCTAAGAATACTGTTTATCTGATCAAGGAATACAGTCAATCTAATCAGGGAATACGGTGATTCTGGTCAGGAAATACAGTGAATCTGTCTCGAGAAACTGTACCTATTGAAGGGATATAGCGAATCCGATTAGGGAATTTAGTGTTTCTGACGAATGAATACAGCAGTGTATCCGATGAGCAAATACAGCGATGCGTATGAATAGCTGTGAATCTGACGAGAGGACATAGTGAATCTTACCTGGAAATGGTTCAAAGGCCACATGTCTGCTCCACCGGCCTTGGAGCCATGAGTACCGGTGGGTGGGCGTTTCTCTGCACCCACGGGTGCCCGATCGCCTAAATCATAGCTGTGGCGCATGCCAGGAGACGCGGAGAGTCTTCCCCGGTGCCGCCGTGTTCTGGGAACTCGGCAACGCCGGCTCTATGGAGGGAGGGTGGGGCATCCTCCGTTGGTGAGCTGTGTTGCTGCTGGGCTGCGATTTCACGGCACGCCGCAGCTGGCTTCGGCTGCACGCCGACAAGCAGTAGTGCTGACGACTTGGTCGATAGCAGTGGTCTCCATGTCGGGATATCATATCTTGGAACATTCCTTGGGTAGGTGCAGCCCTGCGGCAACCTATTACGGTGGAACATAGTAGCCAAGGCCAAATTGGAATATAGTGTAACTTCGTCAATACGGAGTCCCCTATCACAAACTATAGCGCAAATTGACGACAAAGCACAGAGCTGTCATTCTACACAAAAAAAAAGTGCACCACGTCTTCGAGTAATAATACGGAGTTAGTGTGTAATCTTGTAGCGCGGTGTTCAACCGATTCGGCCCCAGGGCTTGCACCGGTGATCCATGTATTGTTTGAACGAGGGTGATACAGTCATCTCAATTGCGAAATATCAAACAAAACGTCAGGTTGCACTTCGGATGGCACCTTCTGTGCAGCCCCCTTCGTGTCGCTGTTCGTGAATCAAAGTCGAAAAATATTGGCCCAAAATTGGGATTTTTTTTTTTTTTGCATTTTTTTTCAGCCCTCAATGGCATCTTCCGCGTCCTTACCCAGCCACTCATCCGTCTGCTCCTCCACCCCATCCTCTACTCATCCTCGGTCATAGCCTCTTGGTACTCTGCCACTGGATACTCGAGGCTACCGATCGTATCGCTCAGGTTTCCACCATACAGACAGGCCGATCCACTCATCATTCATCGTGCCAATGGTTGCAAAAAGTGAGGGTGCATGCGGAGTGACATGAGATAGAGAGAACAACAGCAGGAGTTCCCAGTTTCAATCAAAACTGGGTCTCCTGTGGGTCTCCTGTGGGGTCGAACCACGTGCAAGCTATGATTTCGGCTCCGCCCTTGTCACGCCTCCTCGTTCGGGCTCAACTCCCGTCGTTTCGTTCCAAAATCAAGTCGAAGGCGACGAACATGCCACTTTGATAGGATACGGTGAAAAAATCGGACACAAACGATGTTCGTACTCATCGACGCCAGCACCGTTGACTACGAAACTAACGTACATCGCTGCCGGGTCATACAGAGCACCTGTAAACGAAGTACGCTGTACGACACTCACCCAGGCGAAGCATGAGGGTGTTTCGTGCGTACTTAACGCCGATGAGGAGGTCTGCAATCCGTGACCATCATGCATCACAGTCATCAGGATGCTACGTGCGAGGACGTGCGGCGTCGAGTTTGTAAAAAGGCCTGTCCTCCATCGGCCGTTTTGCTTGTATGACGGAGAATAAGAAGGTGGAATTACTTGAAATTAGTATGTAAATATAGTTTGTGTATCTAAATCGAAAATAAAACGGCCGATGGAGGACAGGCCTAAAAAAAAACCAAAAAAACACGTTCGTACGTGCACGAAACGCAACATTGGTGGGCAGTGGAACCGAGTGGAACAAAAAAAAAAAATTGTATCGAAGGTCTCACAGCAAGGTGTATGTGTACATAGTCCACAACATGTAACATACAGCAGCAGTAGGACACACGCACGGTGAGCAGCGGAATCAGCGTCGTCATGAATCCTAGACGACCACCCAGAGGACGACATCGTCGTGGAACATCGGCATACATCAGGAGCACTCGTCAAGCCAGGACTCGGGAAAATAACCGGGTTCGGAAAATGCAGAGGACGTGCGGTATCTTAGACGATTTACCAGACGACGTCCTCATTGTCGTGTAATACTGAGTACTTAGCTACCACATGTAATCTGATGAGAAGCTGCACGACCAGGATCGCCTCGCAGGCGAGGTCGCTGCTGTTCTTTCCGCTCTAGTCTACATTGTACACCACGTAGGTTCCATCATGCATGACCACCACTTAACTTTGATTTTTTTTTTTTTTTTTCGATGCGCCAGCTGTTCATGTTTAGCAGATTGTATGAAATTATCTACTTGTGTGCAGTAGCATACAGAAGATTCGTAGACAATTATCAGCAATTATTGCAACAACGAAGAATGGACGTTTATTGTTCAGGTACTTGTTGATTGGTTCCAAGCCTAGTGCTGCTGGATAAGCACGGCTGACCAGGTTGACAGGGATGAAGAGATGGTAAAGTCGTTTATTAGGTTGCCCTCGTAGACAAGCAACAGGAGAGAGTGGGCGCCGCGTGCGCCGCAAAGCATCAAGCAACAGCCGCAAGAAATTCACCGACGAAAAGACGCGCAGACTTTCGAGCGCAGACTTTCTGCAACACGGAACAATTCCAACTACCAAAGACATGTCGGGAGATACCCCGAAGATCCACGCCCGTGGAACGGTCACTTGCACACGTTTCGCTCTCAAACCATACATGAGTACTACCGCAGTAGTGTTCGAAAGGATGACATAATCCACCTCACGGACACCCTCCCTGATTCTGTACATCGTCACGAATGCTCGCAAAATCAAGGTATTCAGGGTACTCATAGAAAAGAAAAAATAAACGAAAAATTTGTGGGTATCATATGTTGTTCACCACAAAAAAAAGCAGCGGAAAAACGAAAAATTTGACGCTACATCGCTTATCACAGCGGAAAAAACGACAAAATCTGACGCTACATCGCTCCCAACTGACTTCTAGAAAAGGGCAGTCTACCAAATCGCAGGGAGAGGTGCCCCCCTCAAAACCTGTACATCAGAGGTAGACCAAGCAGCACTCAACCTCAAACAGTTACATCGCTACGGGAGACACTGGTTATAGACATATTCACCACTCCTTTTCAAGCAGTCCCCTCCCAGCAAGAGGATCCCTACTGTATCAAGTTGCCGCCAGCACCGGGGCTCGTCTACAACCCCGAGCACCGTTGTCGATCCATAACAGAAAAGCGAAAAACCAACGCTACATTGTTCTCAGCGGAAGGACATTAAAGAGGGCAATCAAGCTGATTCTTATCGATTCGGGTCTTTTTTCACCGATTCGTAATTTTTAACACGGAACCGGTTCCGGGTTTTCCATTGGTTCTAATCGGCAGAGGGGCGCCTTTTTTTCAAAAATCCCGGAAAGCGTCGATGCCGACGTACACACACCGGTCACGACCAGGCGAGGGGCCCGAGGAATACCACAGCAGACGCGATAAACCCACACTATGAACAACAACGCTGTAGCAGCGGCAGGCCGGCCATCTAGATCGAAATCGGTGCCTCTGAGACTGCAGGATGCAGGTGAAAGTGGTGCTGCTGCTGGGCATGGGGTCGCCCAGACCGCGCCTGCTGGCGCGGCACAGCGGGCACCGAGCGGCATGGCCCGCCAGGCCGTTCACAGCAGGGTTACCCCCCATGCCGGTACACAACAGGGGGTGCCACCTGGCGCGGTGATGATGCCGGGCTTCTCGGACGACGCTGATCGGCAAGCTCGTCAGGCGGCCTTAGTAAAGGTTCTGAACGACAAGCAATTTGGCGACGCCCCACAAAAAAGTTGGACTGANTGTTTTGTTTTGTTCTAGCACTGGGCGCGTCTCGGACCATGGTATGTCACGCAGGAAGCGTTGGGCAGGGGCGTCACCCGCGGCGGGAGCTTAAAGTTTTCACGGGTGTGTTCTGGAGGGTACTCACATACCTGTACCGGGGGTAATTACCCTCTGTAATTACCCTACAGAATAGTTCCGTGGGTTCTGTAGCACCCTCGTACAATACAGAGNCCGCGGGTGCCTAGTCAGAATGAGAGTTAAAGCGTGTCTTCTCCTCCCAAGTACGGACATACCAACATGCACTCATCATCATACACGCAGCGCCAAATGCATATCCTGTACAGACGCAGAGTACCTCTTGGCTCGAACATTTAACCACAAGAAAGTTTCCGAGAAAAAATATTTTTGCAGTTGCTGGAAACATTTCCGCGTGCGGTTCATCTTCAACGAAAAGCACCATCTCAACATAGATGTTAGGCTGTTTATAGTCTAGGAAAGCAACGTACGAGCAAACGGGTGTACACGCAAACCACAGCAGACGGACGGCGTACGGGCATCGAGAGCAAACGAGAACACCTGGCCTGGGAGACTGCGACGCACACCACAACTAACTGCTGGCTGTCCCGTCTTTCCATGCGATCACGCTCAGTCTCTTTTCGCTCTCCTTGTCATCAATCGTTGGCTTTTTCGAGTAGGCAGCAACGGTAAAGACGGGTGAGGCGAGCAGTGTGTGTGTTCGAGTACTCCCCACCTATGGCCGTCCCATGGAGAAAGCGTACAGCTTGGGCCGAATTAGAATCAAAAGCAGGCATCCCGGGAACTTGCACCCCGGTGATGTGCAATCAATGCGTGCAAATGAGCATATGTATGTATGTACCAACCGCACGGTGACGCACCATGCATGTCAGCCCGCCAAAATCATCGCTGGTATGGCCTAAACGTACACTCGGACAAAGCAGCGTAGCTCACAAGCGAGTGCTTGATCACATGCCGAGAAACACATCGCGCGCGTGCTCACACGCAGGGAAGCATGGCTAGGGGAAGTGCAATGGATTTTGACAACAGGAATTTCATGGAACGGCCACAGCGGCCGTGATTTTGTAAGGGAACACAGCGAAGCAGCAGAGCGGCAAAGGGATAGAAGCATGTAACAACAGGACTCACACGCGCGGCGCGAACGCGTGCTCACGGATTGTACACCATGTAACGAGTCGTTAGCACGTAGCGGTGGAGGTCTAAAAGTGTGTAGTGATCAGTAAGTACGTACAGCTCCCGTTCACGGCACGGTTTCTGGCGCGAGAAAGGGGATCATTGCTCCTGACAGGTATTCGCTCATGCAGCGATGCACGCACACTGACCGCTCTTTGTGCAATCGAAGGACTGTACCGAGTGCGATGAGTAGTGAAGATACTCGTACCAGCTGTAGTAGCCGATGTAGTGTTGGAGCAAAGGCCTCCTTGTGGATGTTATGGTCTTATTCTTTTAGTTCAAGCTCAGGACGGTAGCTTGGTTGTGAGCAGATGAGGGCGAGTCCGGATAGCTCTTGCAGAGGCTTCGCAGAATGCGGCCAACTACCTCTGTGGGGGTATACTTGCGGGACAATGAATGTCTCGAACCGTAACACCTGTCACTGGCTATCCTTGCTCTTCGGAATGGGTAAACCCACCGTCGAGGAGTTGTATCTGACCCCACGAGTAAATCTCGATCGTTCACGAGGCACCTGAACTACATGCACACACCGAACGTTGACGTCCCCAAGGACTAGCCGTCTGACGGACTCCTTACGTGGGAAATGGTTCCGATATACCCGGGGTTGGGTGTTTTCTCAGCTTGGGCTAGTTGCTCTTCGATCGATCGTCGTTGCGTTGTTCTTTTAGTCTAAACGCTTATTCAGCGTTCAGGGGCTCCACCGAATCATCATCTGAAAACAGGGGCATACGGCCCCACACACGGATTACTCCGTGTACTCCCCCTCGAGTATCCTGATCGGTTTGGATTTCCCATATCCAAACCGGTCAGGATACCGCCAACAAGATTGCCATTCCTTGCGGGACGCTCACGAGGCCGCCCTGATTAGCCGCCGTGACAAGCGGCACTCTTCCCTTTGAAGTAGATTACTGAATACTCTGACCCCGACGTCAAATCAAGGAAGCACGGAAACACCACTGCGTTGGTACACGGGCGCACACAGGGACATGGGCAGAACGACAACAAAATCTGCAGGCACAAAATGTATGTGCAGACATCGTTTCGTTCGTACCACCTGCTCAGAACATATAATAGATAGGTCGACAACCACAGATAGACGCAGAAAAAGGAACCCAGAAAAAAAACATCCAAGCTCGATTTTATGATAGACTGACCCACACAACAATAAAAACGAACTTGGAGATGATCCAACACGGCCAAAAAAGGGACAGACGAAGAAACAGAGAGAAAAAAGGAAATCGAACAAAAGGATAAAAAACCGGACAGGAGCAGGATGGTCCCATCGAACGCTACATACACCGCAGCACAATATCAATACAGACATAGACTATAGATACATACACGAAATAAATGGCTTGGGAAGATGACATCACAGCCGGCTATCGGCACAAAAACATGGAAGCGAAAAAGAAACATCACACCGAGCCTTTACGGGCCGCTGGGTGGGTGGGGGGGGCAACACATGGTACAGGCACATGCACAGGTGACGTCGCAAACGAAGGGCGGCGTACCGCTACGGTATATACTTCGAGTATGCAAAAAACGAAACTAGGGTTGGGACCCCGAAGTCGCGGCTCTCTTGATACCTCCTCTGGTGAATATTTCTGCAGCACCACGCCAACTTTTATTACTTGTCCTAGCGGGCAGGCGAACAGTACCAGGGTTGGCCATGAAAAGAGTGTTTGCGGCCTACGCCACTTATTATCGGGTGAGACTCTTTCGGAGATGTATTAACTTCACGAGAGGTAGGCAACCGTCCTTCACACGGACAAAAGAGGGAGTGCTCCACATGGGCAGCTCCTACACCAAGGAGGAGCCCCGTGACTCATCGCGGTGCCCCCTACCAAACAGCAATCTTACCAATCTGTGTGACACCAAAATCATACAGCACATGTATCCAACACCAATGTTCGCAGACTCACGAACAACCTCCGTGGTTCTTCACGCAAGTGACTAACCATCAATGGGGCAAGAACGCCCCTGGATACATCAGAAATACCAACATGGTAATATATGGAGGGGAAACCCAGCGTCCGGGCAAAACCCCTCGAATAAACGCCTACCACCACAAAAACCGTCGCTATCACCGCGAATCACAACGGCCGCACTTATTTGAAAGTCCAAGGCAAGTGCTAAGGACTGCTACAGCTACTCCGGCAAATTCATCAACTTGCGCCGGTGGTGCTGCAGGCTGGCCCTGCTAAGGGCCTTGGTAAGGAGGTCCGCGTGTTGCTCCGTTGTCAGAACAAACTTGGCCGTAATATCCCCCGTCCTAAACAATCCGCNCCGGTGGTACTGCAGACTGGCCCTGCTAAGGGCCTTGGTAAGGAGGTCCGCGTGTTGCTCCGTTGTCAGAACAAACTTGGCCGTAATATCCCCCGTCCTAAACAATCCGCGGATGAAATGGAACCTCACGTCGATGTGTTTCGTGCGACCTGAGCTGAGGGGGTTCTGCACTAACGCTATGGCTCCCTGGTTGTCCTCAAGGACCTGGATGCTGCTACCTCTGGTCACTGGGGCAACAAACGAAAGCACAGCACGCACAAACAACGCCTTCTTGACACCCTCCCCGGCAGCAATGTACTCGGCTTCCGTTGAAGACAGAGACACGATGCTCTGCGTCTTGCTACCATGGCTGAGTACGGTACCTCCAACAGTGGTCGCCAACCCTGACACCGAACGCCTATCCTCCGTGTCGGCGTAGCTAGCGTCTACGTCAAGGCCAGCCCTAACCCCGATCACCGTTGGTAAGTGATGCCGAGGTCCCGCGTCTCCTCTAAGTAGCCGAGGATCTTCTGGATGGCATCCCAGTGCCGCTTCGCCGGGGCGTGGGCGTGGCGCGCTACCGCACGCACGGCGAACGAGACTTCTGGACGCAAGAAAGTCGACACCCGCATCATGCTGCTGATGGCCTCCCTCATCGGCCACTCCCCTCCCCCCCCCTCTCCCGGTATTTGCCATCGGGGTTGGGTTTTCGTCGCTTGGCAACGACGTTGTAAAACAAGCTAATTCACTTCGTGAACTCGGCAACCAGGTTACCGGGTGTTTTTGTTTCCTCCGGTTTTGTTTTTGGCGGTAACCATAATGGTGGTCGAGTAGATCATGTTGTACGGGGTCGAGAACCCTCACTCCGCGCAAGGGGGATGATCTGACCACGTTGTGTTAAAATGGTCAAGCACCCTCGAGGCAGTTACACAGTGCTTTCAACTGTCTCAGGAAGTGAAAGCACCAGAAAATAAATTAAGTCATACGCAGCTGTCATCCGTACGCAAGAAGGTAAGCACAAGATGCCGAAAGCCCTTAGCAGGATGCAGCGCACCNCGTTGTAAAACAAGCTAATTCACTTCGTGAACTCGGCAACCAGGTTACCGAGTTTTTTCTTTACCTCCGTTTTTTTTTTTGGCGGTAACCATAATGGTGGTCGAGTAGATCATGTTGTGCGGGGTGGAGAACCCTCACTCCGCGCAAGGGGGATGATCGCACCACGTTGTGTTAAAATGGTCAAGCACCCTCGAGGCAGTTACACAGTGCTTACAACTGTCTCTGGAAGTGAAAGCACCAGAAAGTAAATTAATTCATACGCAGCTGTCATCCGTACGCAAGGAAGTAAGCACAAGATGCCGAACACCCTTAGCAGGATGCAGCGCACCCTTCATGCGACTCGCCGAATATCTCACGGCGCTTCGCGCTTGGTGATGTGAGAGCCTGGTCCGGTGAGAACCCGGCGTGCTCCGTCCCGGCTTTGTAGGAATGCGAGGTCAATGGTCTAACGACTGCGGTATGCACGACTATGAGTACTCCCCCTTCCCTCCTCATCCTCCNTCACAGGCCTGCGCCCCTCTGGCGCACCGTCTACGAATGAAAACGTCCCCGTGCCCAAGTGCCCTTCAAACTCTTCCCTCATGGCCTGTTCCCACCCCTCTCGGTAAACAGACTTGGCAACGCCGGCTACAGTCATGGGTGGGGCTTCTACATCACTCGGACGCTTGCCTATGGGGGATTCACTTAGCTCGTGGGACGCCAGAGCCGTCTCGAAGGCGTCTGGCGAGTTGAGCATGAGGTCCACCGTACCCAGCGGGCAGTCCTCCGCCTCTTGACGCGCAGCGTGGTCCTCCTCCGCGCGCTCGGACAGCAACTCGCGCACCACCCTCGCCTCTCGCCCCTCTGCCACGTGAAGTACCGCCGAGGGCATCCAGCGGGTGAACTCCTCCGTGCTGCTGACGGGCAGGCTCGCCACCGAGGCGAGCAGGGCTTCGGCACTTGTCGGCGACGGGGGCGACTCGTCCCTCAGATTTCGGCGAGGGTTCTCGCTAGTGCGGCGCCGGTGAGTTCCGCCGGCTTGTCGAAGCGGGCGAGCCGCCGGGCCTCTGGCCCACGGAGCGCCGGGAGATCCGTGTCGCTGTCGCTGCCGCCGTCATCGTCGCTGCTGCCGCCGCCGCTGCTGCGGCGATTGCCTCGCCGCCGCCCACATCGGCCGTGCCGGTCGACGTGGTAGATGGGGCGACGCTCGCGCTCTCCCTGCTCGAGGGGGCGCCATCGCCAGCGTCGCCCGCGCCCGACTCCTGGGGCGCGGCCGGCGCCGCCGCCGCCGCTACGCGCGCGGGCGGCCCCGCGGGCCCCGGGGCTGCCGTCAAGCCAAGGTGGAAGCCTGGTCCTCCATCCACAGGTTCTCCCTCCGCCCTCCCTCCACCTTGGCTCGACGCGCCCTCCCCAACCTCGTCCTCCTCAGTCGCGAATTCCTCTTCCTCCTCT